TGAGAATCAACAAGCCGTCTGATCTGGAGAAGACTGTCATTTTCATCGAATCACGTACGTGAAATTCTGCAATATTATAATCAATTACAAGAGAAAACTGCGCAAGCAACGAACAATCAATTGTTCTCGATTTTCGGATCTGAGTGACAGATCAAAAGGAAGACATTTGTTCTCGATAAATTCTGGTCAAACCTTATAATACAGTGAAATCTTTTTGCAACAAACTTTTGGGGACTGGGAGGAAGCGTTTTTTTTATATAATGAATAGTTTTTTTAAACAAGTTTTTTAAAATTAATGACTGGAAAAAAATATTTAAGTCAGACCTGCCTATAATCAATTAGCTCTTATTAATTTTCTTGCTATTCTCACATTTTTTATTTTCGTTCGAAAGCTGAGTAATCTGAAAGAAATAACTTTATTCAAAGGTACCACCTTGCAATAATTTGTTTCAAGTTGATTTTAATACATATATACATGCCTTTGTAAATCACAGTTTCATAAAAAAATAAACTGCATAAATTAATGGTTTTGACAGAAATCCATGCCAGAGAATGGATCACTTCAGCAACCACCACCTGGATCTTCAATGAAATACTCAACAACCCTGAATATGCAAGTGTCTTGGATGAGTTCGATTTCCACTTTGTGCCAGTGGTGAATCCAGATGGCGTTGCTTACACTCACACCAACGTAAGTCCATAATTGTGACACAAAAAGGGGGTCCATTGACCTTTTTCTAACAATCCAAACTTTATATTCTGAACTTCAGGACAGGTTGTGGAGAAAAACCAGGTCCCCCAATGACAATGGATGCTTTGGAGCTGACCCCAACAGAAATTGGGATGCATCTTTTGGAGGTGAACTTGATTTTTTTGATTTTGCGCAGCTCAAACTGCTGCATTTCTTTTTTAGAAAAGTAGTCTAGCGATGTTCCGGATACATAAAATGGTGCTAAACCAAATTAAAGAATTTTTATGAGACCTATAAACAGTAATACTGTAGTACAGTAGTATATAAAAGTATTAGTACTGATGGAAGTTCATCAATTTTGCGAAAGCTTTCGCTTGCTCAATATAAGAGAGGGGAAATTCGAATTTTCCAGGATTACGATGTGCCATTTTAAAGAAATCATAGCAATAAAGTTATTTTTTTCCAAGATTTATTCGTAATTTTCTCTGGGACTAGAAATAAAATCAGAAGAAAATCGTCTAAATAGTCCTAATCTTTCTGCATTTTGGTCTACCATTTTCAAAGAAAGGACGCAGATTTATTCCTTTACCGAAAGAATAGGCGAAATTCTTCACTGAAGTCATGTTCAATTGAATAATAAAACAAATTCCATCATAAAGTCTTTTCTCCGGCAATGCGGAAATTATTTGATTGCTCACTTGGAATATACCATTCTCTCGACGATTCAATTATTTTCCCAATTGCACGAAACAGGAAGAATATCAAGAATGCATTTTTTTCAGCGGTTCGATGTCTTTCTTTTTTTGTAGTGTACTGTATATCAAGAAGCAATTTCATCATTCTTCCGGCCAAAATTGTGTACTATATAGGATCCATCTTGCAAATATAAACAAAGCATTTTTGAGTCGGAAATGCACAATGGCGAACGTTTCGGCGAAATAATCTTCGAGGAAGAAATAATAATTGCTTTTGCAGAAAGAAAAAACAATGACGTCGCTTCAAAATCCTCCACGTTTGCAAAATCTTGTCTCTATAATGATTTTTTCCTATGCTTGGAAAAAATGAGAAAATTAATAGTTGAACCATGATTCGGGATAAGAAATACAGTCATTCCGGTGATTTCTTCAAAGTGCAGAAAAAAACATGAGATCGAAAAAAAGTATGATCAACAACTGTAATTCTTTCAGCAGAAAATTTAATCATGGAATGCAATTTAAATGATAATGTCGCCTACTGTTTTTATAAGGGTTAAATTTTCTTAATTCTATGTGCGTCTTTCGTCGAAAATTTGAAAATTAGATAAGCGACACATTATTTTATTTTTTGGCATCTTAGCTAGTACAGTACATACAAAAAATAAAATAATCGGTCACTTTCGAAGGAGAAAGGAAAAATATCCAGTACTGTACGAAAATGGCATCAGACTTTGCGCAGAATCTCACTTGCGGTTGATTTTTAACGTAAGTCTAGATTTCCCAAAAATATTTAATGCAAGCTAAGAAAAAGTTATGGTCTATATACAGAAAAATGCACAGTCGTCCGGTTTCTTTCGTTATATCGATGATTCTTTGCTTTTTTTGAAAGAAAAATTGTTCCTGCAGTCAAACCATCGAATATCTGAATTACAAAATACAAATACACTAAAGGAATACAATATTTTTCTAACCAAACTTCTTCGATTGTCGGGCAACCAAAATTTTTAGATTGTTTGCCTATGCAATATGAAAAGTATACTACAGCATTAAAGACCCTTCACAATTCTTATTGCTAGTGAGTCGGGCCCTATCAGAAAAAAATTAGAAGCGAGCGTCTCACGTTGTTATTCATACACATAGATGTCACTAGCTGTACATCGCGTCCAGCAGGCCAAATATGCGTTGCCTCCAAGATATTGCATTTTTTTATATTGTATACAATTTTCAGGGCCCGGAACCAGTGATGATCCATGCTCAGAAATTTACCACGGAGCTTCTCCATTCTCCGAATCCGAAGTGAAGGCCGTTTCTGATTACATCTTGGAGAATAGTGCTGCCATTGCTGCGTTCTTTGACATTCACTCTTACAGCCAACTCGTTCTGTTGCCTTGGGGAGACTCCGCGGATTTGCCAGAGGATTACGATGAATTGGTGAGAATATGTTGATTTGTTTATAATTTCTCGAATATAGTCGAACATGTCACAAACAATTATACTGTACACACAAAAATTATATCAAAGAATCGAAAATTCCATGATGAAACTCAAAATTTTCAACATAGCAAGATGTATATATACAGGTGGTATCTTGCAATTTGACCTCCTGCAATTAAATCATCCTGCCATTCAATGATCAAGTTTGCTGGGAGGTCAGCTCTCAATTTGACCTCTGCCACACAATTCAACCTTTGGACAACAAACATGAACCATCAAATGCCATATAGAAAACATGCCATTTGACATTGCTGTCTTGCAATTCAACCACTTCGAAATTCAACCCTAGTCCAGCAATGGGTTATAGGGTCAAATCACAAGGTACCACCTGTATATGTACAAGGGGTTTCACTTTTCTGCACAGACTTGTTTTGGCGTGGACTTGACATGATCTGAACACCAGGAAATATTTAAAATCATTTTTCTCATATTCACTAGTTCAAAGAGACTAAACAGACATCTTCTCAATATAATCAACACTTTTCTGCACAGACTTGTTTTGGCGTGGACTTGACATGATCTGAACACCAGGAAATATTTAAAATCATTTTTCTCATATTCACTAGTTCAAAGAGACTAAACAGACATCTTCTCAATATAATCACCACCAATTTGTACACCACTTTGCAGTCCTTTGGATCCATGTGTTGAAGCAGGCCTTGAAATGTTCAGTTGTTGAATTTTGAAGGGAAAACACCCAGGTGAAAAATGTGAAAACCTTTTGCTTGCTGTAATTTATTTTTGGATAATAAGAGCGGATTGCTTCAAGGATTGATGATGGGAAAGGGGATTTCTTCTTTCATACAGTTCATATAACCCTTAGGCAGCTGCAATGCTCAGATATTTTCCCAAGAATTCCTCATGAGACTTTTTTTTTTATAAAAGTAATTACACTGGCAAATATAGCCTAAGTTTTGAAATATCTATTTTTTTAATGTGCAAAAGAGTTTTTGGAAATTAAAAAAATTTCAAAGCTGTTTTTTCAACCTTCAGCCATATAGGAATAACTTTGATGATAGTCTGCCGGACTTTGCTAATTTTCCTAGCACTATCCAAAAAATTCTGGCACCCACCAGCACAAACTGGAGAAGAGCCCTTTACTGTTGAAGGGTTCAAAACATGGGTGTTTTTAGATGAAGATAATTCTCAGAATTCTTTCTATAACTGAAGCCCTATAATGGAGACCAGGTGTTTATTAAAGAAAATATTATGATGGTACTTGCAGTATACATACTGTACACTGTATAGAAGGTCATGAAAATGGAGAGATTTGAATAAATGATTTAGAGGAAATTTTGGAATTTCACCATGAAAACTTGAGTGAGATTGGCTGAAAAGCCCTGTACACAACATCTGGTTTACATAACACATATGTACATGCGAATCAAAGAATTGTGTTTCTTTCATAATATATCTCTATATTCATTTACAGTATATACTTTACTGTACTATGCATATCCGCAGTTTTCGGAATTCGATTGATTAATACATACCTTTCGTTCAAATTTCAGTATCGTGTCGGCAAAATCTTCCAGGACCATGTCGCAATCCTCTACGGCACTGAATATATTACCGGAAATATTGCTGATGTCATTTGTGAGTCTCGATCGTTCAAATTATGTACTGTAATGTACAACAGATTGATTATTTTATGGACTTCCCTTATTATACTTCACGTCGGATGACGGGACATCTTCATATACCCCGTTCCCGTAATAAACTCGCATTAAAAATCAATTCCTCCAGAAGGAATGTTTAATTAAAATACGTGGAATTTTTAGTGGAATTCCAAATTTGAATGCGGCAAAAATAAAAACTTCGGGGAAATTCTCCATCAGTAAGCCGCATATTTCTCAATCTTTTTCTGTCATTTTATATTATTTGCAGGTTTGAAAATTTCGAAAAGCTTGATAGAAAATTTAAAAAAATGTAATTGACATAGAAAATGACTTTCGAATGATCAGAATTTCTCTGTGCGTAATTTTTGCGCTGAACATCGTTCACCAGAAAATTTTTGAACAGCCACAAATTCTCAAACTGCCCGTGAAAAAAAGACATCCCTTCAATTGCAGGAGAATCTCTTTACAAAAAAAATCTCGATATAGAGAATTATTGCTAACAGCGAATGTTTCCTCCTGAAGAAACTTTTTTCAGGCCTCAATAAATGCTTCGTTCTATAATTGCAAAATTCTACTCTATTTACAATGTATGTTTACATTTGATTTTAATTTGGAACTGAACAAAAGTAATGTAGGAGTATTTACTTGAGTACCACAAAAACTTGACTCAGACACCCACCCCAATTTTTCGTTTTAAATTTTTTTAATAAAATTATATCACCAAGTAAGATGCACTCCATTTTTAGTGATTGAAAAACTATACTGTATTTCAAAAATGAGCGGCACCAGCATCCACAATAGAGCATGTATTCAGCCTAAATTCAATTAATTTTCGATTATTTTGATTTTGAGAAAATTTCCCTTGAAAATGTTTCATTTCATTCAAGTGTGATGATGCACACTGCCTAAACTTAGGCTTTCAAAAATTTTGGAAAACTGTTGCCTGTATGATGCGCATCCCTTATTTTTCTCTTAATTTTTGCAAAAAAAATAGTGCTTGAGTATTGATAAGAGGCACTTGAGTGAATAAAGGTATATTTTTGCAGTTGCTGAATTCGACGTACATATATCATCAATATACAGTATATATTAGCTCATCATTTTCTTTCGTTTTTAATTTGGCCCACCAACAGCAATAAAATACTGACAATGAAACTTTTTGCATCACACGCAGATTTGGCAGCGGGTGGATCCGTGGACTGGGTGAAAGCAACCGCTCAAGTCAAGTACTCACACGCACTGGAACTCAGGGACACTGGCGACTACGGCTTCCTTTTGCCGCCCAGCCAAATCATTCCCAGTGGGGAGGAAACCCTCTTGGGATTATTGGCACAATTGTCCGCTATCCGAAGCGCCACCATCAAGTCCAGCCCTAAATAATGAAGAGATATATATTCACCTTTTCTGACTTCGTTTCTTGTTACTGCGCTCATCGTGCAAAAAAATATATGAATATATTTCACACCATTTTGACATGCGTACAGTTTCTTTTCGAAATGGCGTCTCTCAAGGATATTATTCATCATCACTCACATGCTGATGATTTGCAGAAAATTCCACCTGACAAAAGAAAGTATGCATAAATAATGAGTGAGTTGACCAATAGATGTGCATTTTAAGCATGAGGCACAAAAATAGCGAACCATATTTAAAAGAAATCGTTGGAAAATTTCAGGAGACCAAACTTTGAATTTAGGTTCAATTTCTTTGAAAAACAACATTTCATAATTTGAAGCGTCAAGCTTTTAAATAGCCACTCTGAACAGCTGAAAACGTGGACGAGTGAGCGAGGATTTTTATTGATTCTGCAGAATTTGGAGAAGTTTGAAATTTGCAGACATTCATTTATGCGTAAGAAAATATTCTCTTGATCGGCCATTAAATCGTATATACACATCATGTGTTATTTTAGCCGAATACTCTGCTGTTTATAACGGCAATTTATAATGCTTGCACAAAAACTCAAATAAAATGAAAGAAAGCAAATTTCCAAATATTTTTCTAATGCTTCTCTCTGAATTTTCATCCTCCGGTGAGGAAAAAGGACCAAAAAACATCCTGGAATTATTCTAGATGCGCAGATTGATGATGCAATTTTTCTCTTTTAATAACCCACAATAATATAGGATATAGCACCCGAATATACATTTAGTTATTTATCAACTTCTTGAACGAGAGTATGGATGGATACTGTAATTTTGTTTTCAATCACATAAACTTCATTTCTCAGAAACGTGCTGATTTCAAGCAAACGGAATTCTTTGCTGAAGA